AAAAAAAAAAAAGGGAAAAGATGTGCATGTTAAAAGGATGTCATGCGGATGCAATCAGCTAAACCTAGAATACTGAGGGGGAAAAGGGACATATGGGAACTGCTCTATTAAAAAAGATTTAAACGGGGCGCCTGGGTGGCTCAGTTGGTTGGGCGACTGCCTTCGGCTCAGGTCATGGTCCTGGAGTCCCGGGATCGAGTCCCGCATCTGGCTCCTTGCTCGGCGGAGAGCCTGCTTCTCCCTCTGACCCTCCCCCCTCTCATGTGCTCTCTGTCTCTCTCATTCTCTCTGTCTCGAATAAATAAATAAAAATCTTTAAAAAAAAATAAAAAAGATTTAAACAATGTATCAACCAAATACAACATGTGGATCTCTATGGGATTTTGATCTAAACGAGCTAATTGTAAAAAGTCATTTAAGGGACAGTTGGGGAAATCTGAACCCAGACTGAATACTGACATGTAATTTTTATAAGTTTTCGTAGGTGTGATGACAGAAATGCAGCTTTGTAAAACCGAAAAAGCAAATTTAGTTTTTAGAGAGAAAAAAAAAAAAAAACATAAATTCAATCCCTGCAACCACTGTTCATGTTAGCTTCAGATGAATTTCAAATCAAGTTGGGACTTTTTTTTTTAAGTAGGTAACTCTGGGGGCGCCTGGGTGGCTCAGAAGGTTAGATAAGTGGATTACTGATGCTGTCACAGCTGGCTACCACTACTACATAAATGAGAAAGGGAAGGACAAAGCAAAGGTCTTCTACCTTCTAACAGGAGTAAAATGGCACAGTACAATTAACATACACATTTATTAGAAATAATCTTTAAAACCTGAATCTACATACATTGTTAAGGGCAGTGTGACTGTCTAAATGTTTAGTAATCTCTCTCCCGTTTTCATTTCATTTTTACTATACTGATCACTGATAGTGATATAGTCGAAGGGCAAGAAGTTGTACAAATCTAAAGGCGGCACTGCATTTCAACTAAGAAAATACATACACTTTATTGTATCATTAAGCTACAGCAATGATTAAGTATCTGAAAGTAACATGTAGTTGATGATCCTTATTATGACTTCGTCTTCACATCTATAGAATAAAATGGAATGCAAGCATGTGGGGAACTCTGTAACAGCAGTGTACCTACCCTACAATACTGCTTTATTAAAGCAATGAAATAATTTAAGGAAGCGGATGTAAGACTTAATGAAAACTACTTCGTGCAAATAAGGGTACTCTAAATATAAATGAAGACTAGTCACTGACGGCAGATTCGTTTTTACTCTGATGTTGTACGGAACTAAGAAAAACATTGGGCCTAGATTTACTGTCCTCAAATATCTTCACGATTAAAGTGCTCCTAAGGAACTGTCCCTTTTAAACCCTCAGTCTATCATTTATCTCCCACCCCGATTTGTATGGAGCAATCCGTAAACTCAGGGTTTCCCAACTTCTTCAGTCCTTCACGACTTCTGCCACACTTTCGTACTTCTTGTACTAACATTAACTCACTTTTTAAGAATTGCTAAATTCCCCCCATAAGTGAACTGGCATCACGTGCCGTCAATGGCCTAAGTCACAACAATGCTGGGAAGCTAACCAGATATGGCAGCCTAGGCGGGAGGGCTGTGCCGGGGGTCCCTCCTCTGCAAAGGAAGAGCGGCCCGCAGCTGGCTCCGCCGCGGAAGACGAGGACTCGGCGGCAGCTGCTCGCACCCCCCGCCGCCCTCCCGCCGGCCCGGCCTCTGGGGAGGGGCTGACCACCTGGCTGGCCCGGACGGCGCGCCGGGCAAGGCCATATCCGCCTTCGCGGGTCCGCAGGGCGTAC